AAATCTGCATCCTTTCCTTCAAGGCTCAAGGGTCCAAGATTATCTTCTGTGTCTGTGTTAATTGATTTCCCTTTTCTTTGTTGAAGAGGGTCTGTGCAATCCTTCTGCCTAGTCCGCCATCTTGCCCTGCCTCCGGTAGCTTAGTTTTTTATGTCAATATTTTATTTTTAAGTCTAATTAGATGCCTACATGCATCTAATTAAATCTTCCCATGACTTTTTTTTTTTTTAATTGTGGATATTTTCAAGAATTGTGATCTTACCGTAAATTTAGGTAAAAATCCACATTTACTCCTACTTTGTCTTCTCTTAGTAAACTTTCAAAAATTTTCCTTATTTTGTAAAATAAATAAATAAAAGTTATCTGCCATGCAAAATATTTCTAGCTAAAACCTAATAAGAAATAATAGACAATGAGATAGAACCGTTTTGCAGAATATTCTTTATGCTCCTCATGAAATCTTGTGTTCACTGTGTACATACTAATTGATCTTTTATAAAATAAATTTTAAAGACTGGTTGCATATGATGGAAAATAACATCAGCTTTTAGGTAATTCATGTATGTAAATGTTGTTGTTGTTATGTGCCATCAAGTCGGACCCCACTCATAGCAACCCCTCCTTGGGTTTGCGAGGCAGTATCACTACGGAAGTAGATTGCCCCATCTTCCTTCCGAGGAGTGGCTAATGGGTTTGAACCACCAGCCCTCTGGTTAGAAGTCAAGTGCCTTAGGCACTACGCTACCAGAGCTCCCATATATGTAAATAGATAGACCTTAACCAGATCAGTAAAGCAATCCGGAGTACATAGTCTGCCCCTCTTAGTTTATTCTCTTGCCTTAGCTAATGAGAGACTCAAACTGAAAACTCACTGTCATCGAATCGATTCTGACACATAGCATCCCCCATAGGGTTTCCAAGGCTGTAAATCTTCACAAAAGCATTCTGCCTTATCTTTCTTCCATGGAGCGGCTGATGGGTTCAAATCACCAGCCTTTTGGTTAGTAGCCAAATGTCTTAACCAATGTACCACAAGAAAAGGAGAGCCTAATTTATAGGAGCTCTGGTAGCGTAGTGCCTAAGACAACTTCAGTGCTAACCAGAAGGCTGGCGGTTCAAACCCACCAGCAACTCCTCAGAAGGAAGGTTGGGCAATCTACTTCCGTAGTGATACTGCCTCAGCAACCCAAGGAGGGGTCGCTATGAGTCAGGGCTGACTCGACAGCACATAACAACAACAATTTATAGACATCAATTAGACTACCATACTGGGCCATGTATCTTTTTATTCTTGAGAAAATTGTGATGTTGCAAGGGGCTCTACAGCCTATAGCTCCCTCAGATCAAGGGTAAAGTGTTGTTCATTCTGCCTTTAGGTAAAATTAACCTTTATCTAGGAGCTCTGGTAGTGTAGTGCCTAAGGTACTTGACTGCTAGCCAGAAGGCTGGTGGTTCAAACCCATCAGCCACTTCTTGGAAGGAAGATGGGGCAATCTACTTCCGTAGTGATACTGCCTCGGAAACAACAACCCAAGGGAGGGGTCACTATGAGCTGGTCAACGGCAAATAACAACAACAACCTTTATCTGATGTCTAAGTAAAAATTGAGACTTGTGATATAAATTTCTAGTTTATTGAAACCATTTTGATAACATCTTTGAAAATATTAAAATAAAAATACTGTATATAGCAAGTATACTTTATTAAATATTAGTCATTTTTCCCCATTAGAGGCTCTCTGTTACAACTGAGGAAAATAGCAATTACATTTTGGAATTTTTTTTTCTTTAGGTTTATTTATGTTTACCCAACTTCTGGTCTCTCACTGAAGGGCATTGCTTGATAGTCCCTTTACAGCACCATAAAGCAGCTAACTTACTGGATGAGGACATCTGGGAGGAAATTCAGGTCAGCTTGATAATGCTAATTACAGCAATTTGAAAATCATGAATGGTTTTTGCAAAGTATTGTTGTGTTGTTCCAGGAGGTTTTATCCTTCATCTAGTCATTTTACTTTCTGAACTTAAACACTTGTACATATTTGTACATAGTTGTACATATCTGTGGATCATGTTGCCACCATTCAACACCTTTCTTTGTCTTTTTTTATGTATTTAGTGTTGTGATAAAGTAATAATTATTTTACTTAAAAACTTAATCTAAGACTTGTAATGAGTGCTTATAAGTAGTTACGGTACTTAAGTTTGTGTGTTAACTTGGCTGGGCCTGGTTGAGTGGCTGGGCAGCTGGATGTAGTCTTCCCCATGATGAGACTGATAATCAGCTCCATGGTGGAATCTACTGTGAGCAGCTGAGTAGCTGCCTTAGGAATGTGGTCTGCTTCCCGTATATAAGCAGCAGCTTTGGGAATGGTCTCTAGCTTATAGCATGCTTGGGCCCTGCATGTAGCCGTGTTGCTGTTTAGCAGCCTGCATGCTCTGCCCACCTTGGGACCTTTAATGGAGTTGCATTAATGGCCTGCTGTGTGGTTTGGTGACATCGGGACTGTGCCTTTTTACTTGTCAGCCTTGGGCTTGTCAGTCTCAGCAGCTAGCAGCTGTATGAGTGAAGAAGTCCTCTAGCTCTAGTGAGCTGGGAGCAGGAGGCCAAGCTGAAGCCCAAGGTTGAGGGGCTTTCACCCAGCCCCCTGGCACTTTGAACTCAGACTTAAAGCCTCCAAACTGTAAGAGAATAAACTCCTGTTTCTTCAAGGATCCCATTTGTGGTATATTGTCAGAGCGGCACTAGGTAACCAGAAGAACAGATAATCATTCTTACTGCAAGTAAGCTAATAAATTCCAGCCAAAAGGAAAGAAATTTTCAGGTAATAAAATGAAATTTTTGGAGTTCACAGTTTATATTCAGTAGTTACCATATTTCCTTAGGACAGAATTAGCCTTCTGTGCTGCTGTGATTTTGTGGTGATTATTTCATGACCTCATAATGACCAAAGGAAAGAAGCAAAAATCCTTGTTTTTCTAATGAATAACAACTGGTTAGGGTTATAGGGACCCTTTGCTGGAAACGGTGAAAATTATAACACTTCAAAAAAGACTGTGTCTGTTGCAGACTGGGTTCCAGAGTAATGACTATAAAGTCAGCTGTAGCTCAGAGAAAAATGTAGTAAGAGGATAGTAACCTTGCAAGGTGGACACACATGAGGCTGGAGGCAACACCATGTGTGTCTCCTCGACCCTTACAAACTAGGGGTTTTTATAGTAGTTTTTAAGGCCATGGGATACGTGATTTCAAAAGACCTTGTACAGGCAGGTATTCATAAAATCCTAACCCTTTTGTGAAGGTCAGGAAGTAGAACAAGGTTGTGATAAATTCCTAACATAGACCTCAACTTCCTTCAGGCTAGGTGCATATGCAGTCTGCTGTTTGCTCTTGGTCTGAGTCTCGGTCTCGTCTTGGATTGGTCCATCTTAGTTCATCAAGTGGTAAAGGGAGGGAGCGGTGCACAGGCTCCAAAACTGGTTAACGCTGGCCACAGATAGTGACCTGGAAGACATCTCAAGAATGGCCTGTTATCAGGAAATGCTCTAAAGTAGTAAATTTATATTTGCATTATTTCTTTCACAGTGTTTCTTTCTTTTCTAAGGAAAGTGGTTGCTCTATCTTGTGGGCTTGTTCCTGTCTTGGTTTTATGATCTTAGGAATGTGGTTGCAGGGCTAGGATTCCTATGGCTATAAGTAGAATGTTTGATTTGAACAAGATTAATAAGGGATTTTAGGTTATGAAATTAGAACAAATATTCATCTCCCAGAAATTCTAATGTCTATACTATTCCATATTGTGCTGATAAAGATGTGAAAGGAAGAGCTATTTTAACTGCATTTCATGAACTTCAGTCTCTTACTCCCTATATTTTTTAGGGTTATGTTTTGAAAATTAAAGGGCAGATTATTTTAATGTATCCATGGTCAAGTAAGTATAGAAATGTGGCCAACGACTTAATGTGAAAAAAACCTTTTTTTTCTTGGTAAATGCCAGTTCCAGAAGTAATTTAAAGAGGAAACTGTAAATTTAGTTACCAGAATTAATTTAGAATTTTCCTGGAAGAACTTCTTAAAAAAATTTTACATGTACAACTCATTTAACAGTAAAATACAGTGTGAAAAAAATTTAAATAATTTTATAGGAATCCAGTGTGCACTTTTTATTCTATAACAAATTAAGCTACTTGATGGAAACATTAAGGTGAATAAAGTAGAAGTGTATTAAGTCCAACAAATATTGAATTTGTGAATGTCAGATAATCTTGTAGGTGTTGTGAAAAATGGAGAGATCAAATCATTAATTTGTTCAAAGGTGTGGTATATTCTAGTCCATGTTGCATTATAGTTTAATATATTTTGCAAGGCAGCTGCATTATGGAAAATTGGTAAGGAGGAAAAAGCATATTGTTTTATATAAATAATTTCATTATAGCTCTTTTTTTAAAAATTATTATTTTTTTATTGTGATTTGGGTGAAAATTTACAGAACAAATTCATTCTCCATACAGAAGTTTACATACACTTTGTCTCATAACATTGACTACAATTTACTACAGTGCAACAGCTCCCCTCCCACTTCCTCCCGATAGTTGCCTCTTCCCTAATTCCATCCCTCCATGCACTGCTGCCCCTTGAGCTGTCTTCCTGTGCATGCACAACCCATCTTTCTCCCATGATTGCTCTCTCCAAGGAGTGTATCTACCTCAGGTAAACGTTCAACTCATATGCCTGTCTTTTGTTTGGGTGGAAGCCACAGGTGTGGGTTCAATTCCAGACCTGAAGGACAGCTAGGGGCCATAGTCTTAGTGGTTCTACCAGGGTCTATCGGTCCAGCAAACCTGCTCCCCCCCCCCTTTTTTTTTTTCTCCAAATGATTTTGAGTTTTGTTCCACATTGTTCTCCCTCTCTATCCAGGATCTCCTACATAGATCCCCTTCCAAGTGGTTAACAGTAGTAGCTGGGCACCATCTAGTTCTTCTGGTCTCATAGTCGTATAGGCTGCAGATTGGATGGTGTACCAGTCACTAGGACTAATTGTTTCCATGAATTTTTGGTTTTCTTCATTCTTCTTTGCTGTCGACACAGAGAGACCCATCATTGCATCTAGATGGCAGCTTGCAAGCTTTTAAGATCCCAGTTGCTACTCGCCAAAGTAGGAGGTGGAACAATGTTTTGTGTAGTATGTTACGCCAATTGAGCTTGATGTCGCCTGCGACTATGGGCCTGAGCCCACAGGTTCAACTTCTTGGTCCCTCTGGGTAGCTGGCTGTGACCAAGCAGTGACTACAGCCTTGTCCCTTGTCAGCTCTATTATACACCTGGGAATTCAGATCATACACATGAACTTATAGGACCATTGTCTGCCAACCCTATACATGTTCTTGGGTACACTCCCCACTTCATAAACATACCTACTAGTTCAGCCTGTCCACCCATCTATCCACCTGTATACCCATGTTTACCTTCTCATGTGACATGTTTGAAATGACAGACATAAAGAAATAGAGGACAGATTAATCCATTGTCAAGAGTTCAAGATGAGATTGGAGAGGTAGGAAAGAGATGAGAGGGGGTAGGTTTGACTAAAAAGCATAGGAGGAATTCTTATGACTTGGGAACTGTTCTATATCTTTACTGTATTTTGATACAGTATTGTGTATTGTGTATTTTGATATTGTACTATAGTTTTATATGATATTCCCATTGGGGGAAACTAGGTAAATGGTACATAGGATCTCTGTGTATTATTTCTTATAACTACATGTGAATCTATAATTGTTGTTGTTGTTATATGCCCTCGAGTCGGACCCGACTCATAGTGACTCCTCCTTGGGTTTCCGAGGCAGTATCACTATGGAAGTAGATTGCCCAACAACTTTCCTTCCAAGAAGTGGCAGGCGGGTTTGAACCACCAGCCTTCTGGTTAGCAGTCTAATGCCTTAGGCACTACGTTACCAGATCTCCTATATTTATCTTAAAATAAAAAAAGTAATTAAAATGTTAAAAAGTTATAAATCAAACTGATATAATCAAAATAAAATATGTTTTGTCTTCCTACTTAGACAAATGGGAGCTCTGGTAGCATAGTGGCTAAGACACTTGCCTGCTAACCAGATGGCTGGCGGTTCAAACCCACCAGCCACTCCTCGGAAGGAAGGTTGGGCAATCCTACTTCCGTAGTGATACTGCCTCGGAAACCCAAGGAGGGGTCGCTATGAGTCGGGGCCAACTCGACGGCACATAACAACAACAACAACAACTTAGACAAATGCACCTTCAAAATGCCCTACAAAACCAAGTGTCAATTTAGAATTCTCAGACACCTTTGTGTTTCATACTAGAACATGGTAATGTGGGGAAACTTGGCCTCTGGCTCCCAGCCTGCAGTTACTTTCTCCTAAACTTTGGCTCCATCCTGCATCACAGGGGATGTTCTGTGAATACATATGAACATGCTGGACTACAAGTCCAAGCTCCAACCAATTATCTGCAACAAACAACTGTTTCTTTGGCATGTTGTTGTTGTTAGGTGCCAAGTCAGCTCTGACCTATAGAGACCATATATGCAACAGAACATAACACTGCCAGGTCCTGCACCATCCTCACAATCCATGCTATGCTTGAGCTCATCATTACAGCTGCTGTGTCAATCCATCTTGTTTAAGGTCTTCCCCTTTTTTGCTGACCCTCCACTTTACCCATTGTTTTGGTCATCTAGTGCTGCTATAACAGACATGCCACAGATGTATGGCTGTAGCAAACAGGTATTTATTCTGTTACTGTTTAGGAGGCTAGAAGTCCAAGTTCAAAATGTTAGCTCTAGGGGTTGAGTTAAGGTTCCTCAGTCTTGGAGTTCAGCTCTGCCTCTTGCTCCCGATCCACTGAAGCTGGGGGCTTCTCTCAACTCAGATGGATGCTGACTGCTGAGGCTGACAAACCTGAGGTCAACAAGTAAAATGGTATGGTCCCAAGATTACTAAGCAGCATGACAGGCCACTAGTTCAAGTCCAGAAACAGTCCCAAGATCGGCAGGACACTGAATGAAAACTCAGCTACATGCAGGGTTTGAGTGTGCCAAAAAGTTAAGAGACCTCTCTCAGAGCAGCTTCTTATATACTGGAAGTAGACCACATCCCTAAGACAGCTACTCAGCTGCTCATAGCATATTCAATGCAGTTGATTACCAGTCTCATCATTTGAGAATCACTACATTCAGCTGCCCAGCCACTCAAAACAGACCCAGCCAAGTTGACACATAACCTTAACTATTACACACAGCATGTTATCCTTCTTCAGGGTCTGGTCCCTCCTGATGACATGACCAAAGTAGATGAGACAAAGGTTGTCCATTCTTGCTTCTAAAGAGCATTCTGGCTGTACCTCTTCCAGGACAGATTTGTTCATTCTTCTGGTAGTTCCTGGTATTTTCAGTATTCTGTGCCAATACCAAAATTCAAAGGCATGACGTCACATTCATCATCAAAAAGAATATTTCAAGGTCAATCCTGAAGTACAATGCTGTCAGTGATAGGTAATGTCCATATGCTTACAAGGAAGATCAGTTAATACTACTGTTATTCAGATTTACACACCAAACACTAAAGCCAAGGATGAAATTGAAGATTTTTACTAACTTCTGCCGTCTGAAATTGACCAAACATGCAATCACTCTATTGATAATTACTGGTGATTGGAATGGAAAAGTTGGAAACAAAGAAGAATCATCAGTAGGGTGAAAATATGGCCTTGGTGATAGAAATGATGCCACAGATCATATGATAGAATTTTGCAAGACCAACAACTTATTCATTGCAAATACGGTTTTTCAACAACATAAATGACAACTATACATGTGGACCTTGCATACTTCATTGTAGTTCTTTACTCTGTCTTCTCAAGCCACTCTTTGAAATATTCTCTTCAGCTCTTCTATTTATCATTTCTTCCATTCACTTTATTACTCTACCTTCAAGAGCAAGTTTGTCTTCTGACATCCACTTTTGTCCTTTCCTTCCTTTTCTGACCTCTTGCTTTCTTCATGCATGATGTTCTTGATATCATCTCACAACTCATCTGATCTTTGGTCACTGATGTTCAGTGTGTCAAATCTATTATTTGGATGGTATCAAAATTCAGGTGGGTTATGATGAAGGTCGTATTTTGGCTCTCATGGATTTCTTTTAATTTTCTTTACTTTCAGCATGAATTTGCATATGAGCAACTGATGGTCAGTTCCATAGTCAGCTCCTGGTCAGCTCTTGGCCTAGTTCCGGCTGATGATATTGAGCTTCTCCATTATCTCTTTCCATAGATTCAGTTTGATTCCTGTGTATTATGTTTTTTATTGTCTTCATCTGTTGGATCTCCTCTGTTTTATTTACTTAGCTCTCATTCTTTCCTCAGATGTTCAGAAAATCATTGGTAAAGATGTTTGAAGATAAAGGGTTAGACTGCATATTTTTGGAAACTAATATGAATATGAAGAAACAGTATCATATGGTTTATGAATGCATTCCTCTTCCAAAGGAAGTGGGTGATATGGCTCCCATCTATTTTAAGGTATTTACTATCATCTTTACATGGGCACTTATTTTTTGCTGTAATTCTGTTTTATGAATACAGTTGTCTTTATTCATGTATCTTTTCTCCCATATATATATACTTATAAAAAATTTTGAATTTAATTTGAGCACAAAAAAATTCTGCAGTATCAGTTTCTGTAGAGATTTCATTTTGACCTTTTAAGATATATACGCAAATGATAAATTACAATTTCTATTTTATTTTCTCATGTGAAATCAGGGTTTTACCTTGAAGTACTTTCAAATCAAAATTGTGGTTATAACTGTAGAGAACTGATTATTGAAATATACTAGAGCCAAAGATAGTAACAAATACAGATAGTACAAATTACAATTGCTGGATAACTTTTAGTATAAATTTTAGTATGTAATACCTCATGATACTATTTGTAAAAATAAAACAAATTTCCAACCTTAGCATAAATTTTTGGACATGTAATAAATGACTAGTGTCCTTAATCAATTAAATGTCATTGTAGTTTTGAAGCAGCTTTCATTAAACAGTATTTATTGCTGAGCTGAATACACTATATAGGAATTTATAGACTATAAATAAATGTATAAATGTATAAATGTAGAACCATATATGAACTATTAACATATGCAAAGAAAAAGGAATGTGATATTTTATGAATGATGAATAAAGACTTTTGGAGATTAAATATTAAGACAGTACAGAATGATAAGATATATTATTGTGGACTATAAATTCTAATGAAAAGTGTTATAAAACCTGTTAAGATTAAGGAAATCTTCAAAACAAATTTGATTATTTGATTTGAAGAATTAGGCTATTAAAGTTAGGAGAATAAGCCAGATAATCTGAAAGATTCATTCTAGTAAGATGTTAGAGGAGAAGGAGATCACTATTCTTTTTTTGTGTTTTTTGTATTCCCTCAATAGTGTCTTAGGTGATTGTGACTAGAAGCTTTTGAGGTACAAGGAGTCACAATCAGCAGCCACTGTTGCTCATGCAAGGTGATAGAAATGTCATCTCTTAACACAATGGTGTGTCATTTTTCTCCTCCACACTAAATCTTTTATTTGATCACTAATGATGCCGTATTTATTTGATTTGGCTTCAATTTTATATTGAGTGCTCAACATTACAATGTCAAACTAAGCAACCCAGGCTGTTTAAATAGTGAACAGCAGTATATCTGATGTATTTAAATTATACTTATTTGAATGTTAATTTCATTTTTAAAATCTGTCTCATTAATAAAAGTATTATACAATAACAAGATTATTTTACACTCATCACCCTGTGTTTTCTTTCTGTTAAATTTTTACCATAAATAGTAGTCATATTGGTTAGTCTACAAAGTATTAGAGTACCATTTTCATGTGCTTTTTTCCTTGTATTTTCACTTCTGTGTATACAGTACTTTACTGCTAACCAGGAAGTTGGTGGTTCAAACCCACCAGCTGCTCTGTAGAAGGAAGATGAGGCAGTCTATGTCTGTAAAGATTTACCAACTTGGAAACCCAACAGGGCCCGCTATGAGTTGGAATTGATTCAGTGGCAGTGGTTTCTTTTTCTGGGGGGTGGTGGTGGTTTATATGGGCCAAAACCACAAACCAAACACCAAACTCAATGCTGTTGAGTTGGATCCAACTCATGGCAACCCCACCTTGGGTTTCTGAGACAGTATTATTATGGATGTAGATTGCCCGACCTTCCTTCTGAGGAGTGGCTGGTGGGTTTGAACCACCAGCCTTCCGGTTAGCAGTCAAATGCCTTAGGCACTATGAGTTGGAAATGAATTGATGGCAGTGACTTTTGTGAGTTTCTTTCTTTTTTTTTTTTTGGTATATGGGCAGTAACAGTTTAAGTCCTTGATTACCAGAAAGCATATAAATTACTCTTGATGTGTGGAAAAAGAGCACTAAAACTAAATGATTTTGAGTAGATTGCTATGAATATAGGAGGGAATGGTTTTTGCATGTGGAGTTGAACTGCAGTTAGTACAAGTTAAGAGAGTGAAAGAATATTTTTTATAAACATAGAATTGTAAAAAGCCAAGAAGTTTCAATTTCAAGTATTGATCTATCATGTATAATATACTGTGTAATTAATTCACCGTGTGACTTTATTTTTAAATTGTCTCTTTGTATTTGCTGATATGTTATATTTTCATTTAACAAATGGCTATTTCTTAGAAAGCCATAGTGGAATCTGATGAGGAGTGGTCCATGAACAAGAAGTTGATTGATCTCTCTTCAAAAGATATCAGAAAATCTGTAAGTATCAATTTTCTTCTAATATGAGAAAATAGTGTTCTGAATCTTAATTTCCATATCTCAGTTGAGAAAGAAACCATTTGGTTGAGTGACCAATGGCAAAGAAACTGATTCCACAATTCAAGTAGAAATTATTTTCATCCTTCTTGGTCTGGAAAATGCTTATTTGCAGAGGCTTTTTGTTTACTCAAATGACTATTTCCTCCTGACCTTACAGCCCTCTGTCATGTATTATTGGCTATAATGACCATTATAATCTGCCATGAATCTCATGGGTTTTTGAGACCCTCTGGGAAAAGTAAAAGGGGCTTTCATGTTACTGGAATAATAGAGGAAATTTTTCCTAGAGGATTCATCCTGAATTTGGAACTTATTTTCTTTTCCTTGTACACAGTTTTTCTGTTATGTTCCTATAAAACATCAGTATCTGTTTATTTTTTAAGTAGTTGAATTAAATTATGGGTTCATTATTCTTTTGGAGACTTGTCTAACCATATTCATAATTTAATTTTAATTTTCAGATTAGCTTTTGGTTGTAAGTTATACATAAGTTAAGTACTTCTATAATGACCTCTTTCTTTTCTAGAAATATGAATGAAAAGGAATGGAGACTTAATTGATGTTTGAAATTATTTTTTCTTATTCAATAAGCAATTTATTTTACAAATATGTATCAAGAGTCTGCTATTTGTAGATGCTTTTTATGCATAGTGAATAAACCAGAGAAGATCCTGCTTTTATAGCATTGACATTCTAGTGCAGGGGTTGGCCAAATCTATAGGCCAAATCTACCTGCTGCCTATTCGTGTAAACAAAGTTTTATTGCAACTACAGCCTTGCCCATTTGTTTATGTATTGTCTATGACTGCTTTCATGCTACATGGGTAGAGCTGAGTAGTCTCAACTGAGATGGTATGGTTTGGAAAGCCTGAAGTAGTTTGCTGTCTGTACCTTTACAGAAAACGTTTTCTTACCCTTGTTATTGTAGAAGAATTCTGATGGTACAGTAGTTAAGCACTCAACTGTGAGCAGAAAGAACAGTGGTTCAAACCCACCATCCGTCCCCTGGGAGAAAGATTAGGCAGTCTCCTTCCGTAAGATTTACAGCCTTAGAAACCCTAGGGGCCAGTTCTGCTGTGTCGTATTGAGTTGCTGTGAGTCAGCATCAACTCAATAGCAGAATGTCACTAATTTATTTCTTCCCCATTACTTCTTTTGTATGGCCGGTCTCTCAATACATATGCCTGATAGGATTCTTTATTAAACTTATTATATCCTAGTCAGCATATTAAAATTTCATTGCCTTATTGAAGATACACAGTTTTGATTCAGAGGTAAAGCATTGTCTACAGTGTTTTTTGTCTTTCTGTGCTGATGAATTGGCCCAGACAATATATTAAAACACAAAACAAAACCCTAAATGTCCTATATGTTTTTCTCCCCTATGGCATATAACAACAATGAACCCATAGATGGCATCATAATTTATACTTACACACTCTTTTTTTTAAAGTGCATTTTATTGAAATATATGTACAGTGAAATACACAAAACTGAAGTAACATGGGTCAATGCATTTTTTTTTTTCAGTGTTCCCTCCCCTCCCATCCCTGGCAACCAGCAAAGTTTCCTTTCATATATAAACCTTACTTGACTTTTTACAATAATGAACTAATACTACATTTGTCCTGTGATTGACTTATTTCCCTCAGCATAATGTCCTACAAGTTCATCCCTGTTCTGCGGTGTTTTGCAGACTCTAAATTATTCTTTAATGCTGCATAGCATTCCATTGTGTGTGTACCGTAGTTTGGTCATCCACTCTTCCACTGATAGGCGTGGGTTGCTTCCATCTTTTTGCTTTTGTAAATAGTGCTGTGATGAACATGGATGTGCATATATCTGTTCCTGTCCTGGCTCTCACCTCTCTAGGATATATACCTAGTAATGGGATTGCTAGGTCAAATGGTATCTCCAATTCCAGTTATCTAAGGAATCACCAGACTGTTTTCCACAGTGGTTGTATCACTTCACAGTCCTGTATGATAGTCCCAATCTCTCCACATCCCTGCCAGCATTTGTTATTTTCTATCTCATTGAACCTTGCCCTCAGTGCTGGGGCCAGATGGTATCTCGTTGTTTTGATTTGCATCTCTCTGATCATGAGGATCTCTTCATGTGTTTGCTGGCCACCTGAATATCTTCCTTAGTGAAGTGTCTATTCAAGTCTTCTGCCCATTTTTCAATTGGATTGTTAATTCCTTTGGTGTTGAGGTGTTGGAGTTTTCTATAAAACTTAGAGATAAGTCCCTTGCCAGATATGTAATTATCTAAAAGTATGAATTTGTTCCTGTCATTTTATTATGTGCTTTTTTGTAGTATTGATTTCTTTGTTCCATATAATTTACTTTGCTGAGCTCGTTTTGTTTACGAATCATGTTATCACTTCCTTTGTTGCTATTGTTTTAGTATTTACTAAATATTTGTGCTGGTCCTCTTTTTGATTTTGATGTGAAGGTTTATCATTTTTCTTTGAGGTTACCCTGTGATTTATAGTTTTCTTCCCAAGTTTAGAACAGTCCATTCTATCTTGTAGTTGTCTTGACTTCCCTACCATCTAAAAGTTCTGTAACGACACAGTTTTTTCCCTCTTTTTGGTTTGTTGTTGTTGTTGTTATTTGCCGTCGAGTCGGCCCGACTCATAGTGACCCCTCCTTGGGTTTCCGAGGCAGTATCACTACGGAAGTAGGATTGCCCAACCTTGCTTCCGAGGAGTGGCTGGTGAGTTTGAACCGCCAGCCTTCTGGTTAGCAGTCAAGTGCCTTAGGCACTATGCTACCAGAGCTCATTTTTTGGTTTGTAGTTGTCCTTATTTGTCAATTAATGTCTCTGGTTCCCTGTTTACAATCCCATAGGCTTATTTACTTTGGATATTTCCATAGCTGGGTTGGTTTCTGGGTTATATCATCATGTGTGTTAATGGTCAGTTGTTGTTTGCTGTTGTTGCTTCTCTGTCCAAAGGATTCCCTGTACCTTCTCTGGTAAGGTTAATCTGGTTTTAACAAATTCCCTTAATTTTTCCTTATCTGGAAATGTCCTAATTTCACCATGATATTTGAGGGACAGTTTTTCTGGATACATAATTCTTGGTTGGAAATTTTAATCTTTCAGGGTTTATATATACCATCCCATTGCCTTCTCACCTGCATGGTTTCTGCTGAGAAATCCGAGCTTATTCTTATTGGTTGCTCTTTGTAGGTAACTTTTGTTTTTCCCATGCTACTTTCAGGATTCTTTGTCTTTAGGTTTGGTAAGTTTGGTGATGATATATCTTGGTGATTTTTTTGGGGGGGGTCTATCCTGTTTGGGGTTCATTGGACTTCTTGAATGCATATATTCTCATCTTTCATCATATCAGGAAAATTCTCTTCCAACAAATCTTCAACAATTTTCTCTATGGTTTTATTTGTCTCTTCTTATTCTGGAATTACAATACATGTGGCTTATTCCTTTTGATGGTATCCCACATGAACTTTAGAGTTTCTTCATTTTGTTTTGATCTTTTTTTCTGATTGATCACTTTCCGAGGAAGTATTGAGGTATTTGCTTTCAATCTCACTAATTCTGTCTTCCATTGATTCAGTTCTACTCCTTTGCCCATTCAATGTGTTAATCTATTTCTGAAAATTTTGTATTAATCTTCTGGATTTCTGTGTGTAGATTTTGTATCATTTCTAATTTTTCATTTATTTTGTCATTTTGTCCTTGTATTGACTTTTGAAATTATTTTAGGGTTTTCTCAATTTTGTCAGTGTTTTCCTTGATCTGTCTCTCAATTCGTTGAAGGTACCTAAATATAATTCTTTTGAATTCCTTATCAGGGAGTTCCGATGCTGCATCTTCCTCAGGGATGTGTTTTGAATCTGTATTCTGGCCCTTTGTTTCTCCTGCTTCATCTTGCTTCTTTGTGTAGACTGTGATGCTCTGTTGTCTCTGAGGCATTGTGATGTTTTGGAGTTTATATTTAATTGATGATTGTATGTTGGATAACTTTCGCACAATTTTCATTTTCTTTGTTTTGTTTGTATGTTATCTGTGTAAACAGTGTACTGTGCTATGCTCCTCTATTTGCTAGTTCACAGTGCTTACATACTCACCACCTATCTTCTTTCCTGTTGTCAGCCTCCCATATGTCCCACCATCTTTGGCAAACAGAGCCTAGTCTTAGGTTCTTGGAATTTGAATGAGAACACTGTCACTTTAAAATAAAAAATGGCCACCATTTGTAAAGATTCAAAATTGCTGCACCCTTGGTCACTTTAAATATCCAAAATGGCCACCTCTTATAAGCATTCAAAATGGCTATACCTTCAGTCACTTTAAATATCCAAAATGACCACTGCTTGTAAACAGAATGGCTGCACCCTCCAGATAGCCGAAAGTCCCCAGCTCAATTGTCTCCCTCCTTGCTGTTTCCCTTCCTAGTCATAGGCCACCAGTGCAGTTGTCCCTGCAGCCCTTGGTGACCAGGGCTGATCTTTAGGTCAATTCTCAGGTCCCAACACCACCTGGATATATTCAGGCTGTTGGTGCCATCAGAGTAGCTGACAGTCCACTTGTCTAATTGTCTCTGCACTCACTATTTTCATTCAGGTTTTTCTACTAGTTGGTGCTTAATCCACTTCTGTATCCTTCCTTTCAAAGCTCAGGGCTCCAGGATTATCTTCTGTATCTCTGTCAATTGGTTTCTCTTTTCTTTGTTGAAGAGGGTCTATGGAACTTGTCTGCCTATTCTGCCATTTTACTTACATACTCTTTTGTGCCTGACTTTTTCAGTTTTCATATCATAATAATTTCCCATGCCATGAAATATTTTTTTCAGAACATGACTTTAATGGATAATAAAGTTCAAAATAAGTCAAATGCCTTAGGTACTATGTCACTAGAGCTCCTGAAAATTTATAAAGAAATAAGATTATTACCCATATGCAGTACTGTACATGTATTATTCTTACCAGTGAACCATGTAGTACCTGAGTTCTTAATAATATTGAAAATTAACCAGTATGGAAAATAAGAGCCTTGTAAGAATGGTGGCTGTACCAAAGATAGTCTTTAGTTATAAGTCTTGTTCCTGAGGCCATTTGAGAGTCACCGTAGAGGGGGAATGAGTGAGATGACATGTTGAGGTCCCTTTTAGCTCTATGATTCTATAATTATGTGAATGGAATTGTGAAGAGAATTTGAGTATAAGAATAATTCCAAAGGAGGTCACTTTTTAGGTTAACAAGCTTTCTAGTGTCTTTTTAAAATGTTAAATGTGTTTCAGAGTGAGAAATGAAACACTCTTGACTTTTTGTTAGTATTTTTACTTCTGTAAGAATCTTACAGTTTTTTTAAAGCTCTATGTCCTTGCTAGTTTCATAAGGTATTTTACCTACTTAACTGGAGGCAGGTTGATGCTTTTTTTAATTGAGCAGATTCTTGGCTAATAATAGAGTTTCATATATTTGTAATTCATTCCTATTCTTTGTTGAATTTATATTTTTATTTGCTGTGTGAATATAAACTTGCCTTCTTTTGCTCATTTGGTTTACTTTTTCTAGATCTTTTGAATTTTCTGTAGCATAGTGTAAGGAGCTCTGGTGGCATAGTGCCTAAGTGATTTGACTGCTAACCAGAAGGTTGGTGGTTCAAACCCAACAGCCACTCCACAGAAGGAAGACTGGGCAATGTACTTCTGTAAAGATTTACTGCTTTGGGTGCCCAAAGGGGAATGCTATGAGTCAGAGTCGACTGGATGGTAGTTTGGTTTTCTTTGTTTGTTTGGAGTGTGAAGTCCATGGAAAAAGATAAGGAAACAGATCTGAATATTCATTGGAGAAGAGTTGTAAAAGAGTAAACAACTTGTTAGGAAAAGCAGTCATTTTCCACAAGGCTATTCCATTAAGATTTCATGAGCGTTCTTCCTGAACTTACAAAATGTTTTTTAAATTTTGTGGTAACTGTAAATAAATCAACTCAGTGACAGCAGGTTTGCTTTTTATAATAGCATTTGTAAAAGCACTTAGGGACTGATTTTTATTTTTAAAGGAAAAGTCCTTCTCAAGGAAAATTTTGGCTTACCTAGAGACCTTCTGTTATGGATTGACTTGTGT